TGCTAAGCATACTCATTCAACGTGGCCACTAGACCACCACCCCAACAGGATGAGAACACCCTTCCAAGTGTTTTTTCTTATGACCCCTGCCACCTCTTTTGTTTGCAACCATTGCGTACCTGAGCCAACTTCCATAATAGAAAGTTGTGGTACCAAGTTTTTTAGGTCAGTGGAAACTTGCATGTCATGTTAGGTATGTCAACTACCATTTTTCCTGTATATGCACACACTTATTCTCTCTTCCTGTTCAAGAGTTTACAAACTCATAGGTAAACATTCTTCTAATTTAGCCAAGAATTTCAAAAGGAGGAGAGAGGAATAATAACGCACACTATGAAGCTCATGAAGAAGGCAATAATGAAGGTATGGAGAGCTGCAGACAACTTGAGAGCCATCCCATTTCCGAAATTACTTACAGGATATTCATGCTGCTATTAAATAAGCAGATAATCTTTATCTGCTAATAAAAAAGGCAGCCTGTTGCCAGAGGATGGTGACAGTTTTAACAAGTTTTACAGAAAATAAAAATATCAGCAGATAGCAGGTATCATGTTTTCTTTTGGCAAATGTTAACACTTCACAGCTAGCATGCCTTGCTTACTTAATTGGGCCTATAAAAACCCACCAGGCCATTTCATTTGGAGCCATTGAAATTCTCTAGACCAATTCTTTATAGCTTTTCAGAGCCTGGATTGGAAAACAGCTACAAAGAAGGCTGATGAAAAGGGTTTTTCAGCTCTCAGGCCCATATTTACAAACCTTACAATCTTGGTGTGTTTACATGTTTTAAAATAGATGGAGTGAATAAACCAGGCAGGTTATTATTATTGCCATGAGATGATGATGATGATAATAATAATAATAATAATAATAATAATAATAATAAATGTGTTGGCGTAAGCAAGTTCCAAATAGCCTAAATAGCTTCCATAGCATCTTGTCTGTGACTGACTTCAGTTAACCTCTCTGAGTCTATATAAGAGTTGGTTGTAGCATTTGCCACATATGCTATTGTCCTATGCAGTTTTGGCTAAAATACATATATTCTTTAGCCATATTGTTAGTCTCTCTAAAGTGGACATAATGCCATATTCTTACTACCAATGACTAGACTCCACTGAGGCTGAGTAAATGGATATTTATTGAAATTGAAATTGAAGACATAAATATTTATTAAAATCGAACAGGAAATGGAGAAAATGGAAAGGAAATGCAAAGAAAAGAAATTGTGAGAGATACCTTAGGTTCAAGCCACTGAGTGTGTGTTGTATCAAAGAAAAAAAATGTCAGTCCCATTGAGAAAAATACTTTAAAATATTCATTTAATAATCTCTTCAGCAAACATTTCCATCATTTTAGGTTTAAAGCCTTTTGTGCATATACTTTCTTTGTCTCTGGGCTATCTTTAATCTAATTTGAGAGTACAGCTGGACATCAGCAGCTGTGGAGTCAACCAAACACTGAAAAAAAATGTTTGTTTCTATGTATCTGGATAGCTGTGGTGATCACTCTCTTAGTAAAGTACTTGGCTTGCTAGCATGAGAACCCAGGTTCTATTTCTAGAACCTTAATTTAAAAGCAAAAAGCCAGTCATGATGGAACATGTTTATAATGGCAGTGTTGTGGAAGTGGAGACTATTGAAATCTTCAGGGTTCGTTGGTCAGCTGTCTTAGCCAAGTGATCCAAGGCCAGTGAGAGACCCTACCCCCAAAACAAAACAAAATAAAAAGATGGACAGAACCTGAAGAATGGCACCTGAGATTCATGTCTGGACTCCATATATATGCACACACATATGACACAGGATATTTGATCACACTGTGTGAAAGGCACCTTCTGATTGGTTTGATAAAGTGTTAAGTGGTGAATAGCTAGGCATGAGAAGATAGGCTGGACTTCCAGGCAGAGATAGGAACTCCAGGAAGAATATGAGAGACAAAGTTTTGCCAGTGAGATGTGGAGGAAGTTGAATATACATTTTGGAGGAGAGGTAACAGCCACATAGCAGAATGTAGATTAATATAAATGGGTTAATTTAAGTTATAAGAACTAGTTAGGAACAAGCTAAGGCCAAGTGTTTGTAATTAATAAGAAGTTTCCATTTCATTATTTGGGAGCTCTCAGTTCAAAAAGTCTGATTATACACATGTGTACATTTGTTTACCCACAAACATTAGCACACAGATATGTGTACACACAATGCATATTATTGAACATATTTATACAATTTCCTATCATTATTTTCTAAATTATAGAAATTAAAAATTATCTATATAACATTGACATTGCATTAGGTATTATTCATAGTCTGGAGATGCTCCAAAGTATATTGGAGAAAGCCTATAGGTTCTATACAAATCCTTAGCATTTTAGATAAGGGACTTGAGTATCTGCAGGTTTGTTTTCTGCAGAGTTGTGCCAAGGATAGCCAGGGAGGATGATAGCTGCAGGATAATTTATCCTCCTATTTTCTCTCTTGGCAGCTCAGAAGTCTTCTGGAATAGATTGCTTATAGGGAAAATTCTTTAGGCCTTTTCACCTGAGTGTGGTACTATACTGGGACTGGGGCATCTCAAAGTATGTGAAAGATTTTTTGATGATGATGATGAGGACTTTGTAAACAAACATGGCCTGCTTAGAGATTTATGGATGTGGAAGGAACCAAGCTTGGTTTCTATTATTGATTTGGAATCTCAGATTTTTTTGTTGGATACCTGGACAAGTATAAGTTGGTAGGTGTGGGTCTTCTTTCCCATCCCTTGATTTGACCTTAACATGGTGCTGAGGACCAGCCTACTCTAGACACTGCAGTCTTATGAAAGACGCTTTGTTGGGTCAGGCTGAGAGGCAGAAATGAAATGTTAACTTTCTAAACTTGCTCTCCTAGATCTTTCTAAATGTAGCAAGACAGAGGTATAATTTCTCAGACCTCCCCTAGACAAAAGGTATCAGTGTTTTTCTTTGGCATTGGGAAAGGAGTGGAAAGGGTGCTGAGATTCTAATCCCTAGTTTGGAGTATCTCAGGCGATCACAGAGAACACTTGTCTTTTATGACAGTACAGTTCTCAGCATCCCTTTGGGATGCCTTTGACTCAGATTGTCTGGGAAACATAAAATCAGTCACATTTGGCAACACTCAATACACGGAGCATGGGAAACACAAATTAAAATAGATACTCCTTCAGTCACTAAGCTGTTTGGTTAAAAGTTTGCTTGGTATAAAGGGAATCATTACAAATGGGAGCTCCCAAGGGACCAGCTCCAGCTCAGGTTTGGTGAGCTTCACAGGCCTGTTCAGTCTCTTCCAAGCTCAGCATCTTCATCCTCTTAGCTCAAAGTAAAGAAATCTTTAAATAAAGCCAAAGTAACAAGGGCTAGTCATTCTGAAATCACTTTCTTATTCTGCTCATAGGAATTCATAAATGCTTTTGAGGGCATTGGACATGATGTTCTGTTCCTGGGATAGTGGCAATCACTTTATCACTAGTTTTTGTTTGCTAAGGGAGACTGAGCTTCGCCTAACAATTGCCTCTCATCTCTTGTTTAAGGCAGTAAATCAATCGGGGATCAAGTTTGAGACAGAGTGAATTATTACTGCATCTGTTATTCCATAGAAATCTTTCTTTTCTACTATGGAGAATCTAAGAGACACATTGTCCCACCACTGTAAATGTCATTTTGTTTAATTCTAACATCTGTATAAAACATAAATAATTACTAACTCAGATATATGGTCTGACATGCTTTTTTTCAAAGAGGCTGGCATCTCTGGGTTTGGATCACCAATATGCACAATATACTTCTTTTAATATGTATTTATACATTTCTTTGGTTTTGTTTTGTTTTCTTGTTGGATCCCATGTACCTCAATCTTACCATGTAAATGAGGCTAGCCTTGAACTCCTGACCCTCCTACTTTAGACTACTCAGGGCTGTGATGACTGGCTTGTGCCACCTTCCCTGGCTCCATTAGTGTTTATAAACTCCATTTTATGAAAAGGAGTCTCCTGGCCTGAGGAGTTGCCATTGTTCTGCACAACAGTGGGAGGTGCTGAAACTAAGGTTTGACCCACATGTCATTCACAACCTCATAGGATGCAGATGTGAGAAATGAAGGGAACTAGCTACATTCTCTGTATCTTTATCTTATGAGAATATGTATGAAACCCAGAGCAGGAAACTCCCTTTAACATGCTTGTCTTTCCAAGGAGATGGTAGACCAGAAAGCCGCAGTCATCCACGAGGACACATAGGATGGGTAATAGCCAAGACATTACAATTGGCCACACTTAGCTCTGCTCCAATAATAGTATCAATAGTTAATATTTATAGTGCTATGTATTGAGTGCCAGCTGCAAGTTAGGTACTGTCACTGACAAGTTCTTACCAACCAACTCTAAGCTCTGTCCCCAGATATACAGAACAGGGGGAAGTGCTACACAGAGAAATAAAAGTCTTCATTTAGTGCCAGCATTCTCTTTTGTTCCTTGAATGTTGAAAGAATTAGCATAGTGAATCCTCCTGCAAAAAGTGCCTTATCTCGCAACACACCATCCTATTATTCTGGCAAAGTTTTGGAACATAAATTGCTCAAATCTCATATACAAATAGGCAATATCTTTGGCAGCAATACTTTGAAATGTATTCCTAATAGCTCATATTTAAGGTCTAAGAGAAGGAATGGAAGGATTAAGGCTCACAAACCTTCCTTGTCCTCTTTAAAGTAACTGACCTGCTTGCCCCAGACCAGTGAGGTACCCAACAGGAAGTAAAGCATGAGAGCAGATAAAATGAACAAGTACAGTTCTGTGGTTTGATTTATATAAATAACTTCTGTGGGAGAAGATGACTGTGGTCTGGGTAATGTTCATATCTATAAAACTCAAGAAACCTGAATGTAACCTGATATGCCCAGAGCTTTCTTGACCTGACTGTGTAATTCTGCTCTGAGTTATTTTGGTAGAGAGGAATTTATGATTGGAATCAGGCATGAGCTTACCCAGCGGAGGTCATGGTCAGATGGCCGTGCTCGTCCCTCTTCATCTTCATACAAAGGGAACCCTTCTCTTCGAGCCTGATAATACTCCTTCCGAAGTTTCTGGATGCGGTCAGTGTTTCCAGCCATGGGACGGCCACTGTAGCACACAAATAGACATGGTCACATGGTGTATGTCAGCCTTGGGGAACCCCCTTTCCTCTCCCTGTTAAAGGGCCTGACATCCAAATTTGAAAGACTTGACAATGTAATGCAAATGAGGAAAATGGTGAAATCAGTAATAAAAATGAGCAAAGAAGGAATAACACACACATACACACACACACACACACACACACACACACACACACACACACACGCACACACATTTAACTCCAAGGGTCAAGTCATCTGATTTTGGACTAATAAATGCTTTGGGAATGAGAAGGTAAGTTAATGTCCTGACCTTCTAGAGCAATTAAATAACTTACTACATTCTTTTTAAAATCATATATACAGTGTTTGGTTAAATTTTAATATGGGTATCTCTTTCTTTCAGATGTCATTGCTAATTTCAGATCAAATCCCATTTGCTTGACCCAAAGGTTGGATGTGACAAATGATTGGCTGGCACGGATCAGCATTCTTTTCAGTGAAACTCAAGAACTTAGAATAAGAGAGAGTGACAGAGAGAGAGAGAGAAAGAGAGAGAGAGAGAGTGTGTATATGTGTGTGTGTACAGTGTGATTGCAGGACATAGGTCAATGTATGAGTAAAGAAAGACCATAGATAAAAAAAGATGGTGAAGTTTATGGCAATAAGGGAAACACATGGGTAGGGGAAGGTCTACAGCAGCTCAGTGTTCTAGTATGCTCCTTGTCCAAGGGCCATGTATATCTGTGTGAGCCACTGATTCTGCCTAAGACTTAGAGCTTGCCAAGTGCCACCTTGGGCAGCTAGTGGCCCCTTTTTAGTTTGGGTTTACTGGTTATTATTGTTTTTATCAGAACTAGGATAATGCTTATGTTTTATAATCCATCCTGGGGAGGCAAGAGAAAAAAGATATACAGGTCTGACCTGCCATTGAAACTCATTGATTCATTTAATGATTGAATGTCCCATTGTGCCAGACCTCACATTAAGATCTGGAGATGTAAAGATGAACATTTCATATTCTTTTCCTGAATGAATCTGCAGTGGAATAATCCCCTTATATACTATAAAGATTTACCTCTCAAATTAGTATAACATGCTGATTATCCAGTAGCCAGACAGGAAATATGGGTAGGGTGACCAAACTAAGGATGATTGGAAGGAGAAGGGTGGACTTGAGAGCCCCCAGCCAGATACAGAGGGAACAGGAGATAAACATACCATGCTATTAAAGGTATTGCCGTGTGGCAAAGCATAAATAGAAATATGGGTTAATTTGAGTGTAAGAGCTAGCTAATAATAAACCTGAGCTATTGGCTGAACATTTATAATTTATATTAAGCCATGAATCAATTATTTGGGAAGTGGATACCAGGTATTTGGGAACAGGCAAGTGAGAAAGAAACATTTACATGACTACAAGAATCACATTCTTGGAGGAATTCAGATTGCTGCCACTAGAAGGATCTGCACAGGGGTTATGAGTGCTTAAGTTTTGACAGGGTTAGAGCGGGCTATGGAAGGTGACAGTGGAAGGCTCCATAGAGGAGGTTCGCACTTTTGTTGAAACTTACAGAATATGTAGATACTCAGGAATTGGGCAGGTAAGAGGAGGCAATCTAGGCACACACACACACACACACGCACACACACACACACACACACACACACACAGAGAGAGAGAGAGAGAGAGAGAGAGAGAGAGAGAGAGAGAGAGAGAGAGAGAGAGAGAGAGCAAAAGAGAAAATCTTGCTTTGGTGATTCCTTTTCCAGCAAGTACATTTGGGCCATTGGAGGTCCCAGCTGCCTTTACTCTGCCTCCTACACACATCAGATGATACATGCTCCCTTTCTCATGTTAGTTAGTAAGAGTAAGTGCTGATAACCTGAACCTTGGATGCTCGGGAGGCAGAGGCAGGCAGATCTCTGTGAATTCGAGGCCAGCCTGATACAGAGCAACCTGTACAATATACAATACAAGCAATACAGAGAAACCTGTCTCGAGAAACACAAAACAAGCAAACTAAGATCACTCTGTAGTTTATGAGTTATATGGGAGGGATTGTGAAAAGGGGGACAAGTGACTATTGGACAGGTATGTAGGGGCCTGCTATGAAGAAACTTGCATTCATGAAGGTCCTCAGGTATTTCTGTTGAGTTTTACATTTAAATCAGATATCCGATTTAAAAAAAAAATGAGATATCTCAAAGCAAATGGAAGTATTTGAAAATTTAAGCTAGGTAAATATGTTTGCAAGACAAGGTCTTCTACTTGATACAAGGTAATAGATAACATGGCCACATTATTTGCTTTGTGGCTTCTCTCCAGTAAGAATGACTGGCCACTGGGCTTCATGGGCACACTAGAGATGGCAACTGGCCAATAACTGGTGCTTTTGATTAAGAAAAGGCAAACCCTGAGGTTGGAGAGATGGCCCAGTAGTAATGAGGAGTTTGGTCCCCAGAACTTATACAGCAGCCTATAATTCCAACTCCATGGAATCTGCCACCTTGGGCCTATGTGGGCACCTGCACTCACATGCACCCCCCCATACAGACATATATGCACACACACACAATTGAAAATAATAAGAATAAATTTTAAAAAAAGGAGTAAGTTGAGTGCTCGGCGGGGGTCGGGGACAGACCTTTACTTTCCTTCCTTATGTATTTAAAAATTCTGAAAATGGGTCTAATTCTCCTTCCTTTATTTTTATTAAAAAAGATCACCCTACAGATAACAAGGGATTGCTAAGCTTTCCTGGAGCACATGTACTGAGAGCAGCAGGCTATACCCTGGAAGCTGTCTGGTCTCCCTATCTCCGTAGTAATACAAGAGGACTGCAGCGGCTGGATCTCATGCATAGGTTTCTGCTGGTTACAGAGACGCGAGAGCAGCATTCAAACTCACCAGATGAGTTCAATCAACTTGGTGCAAACACTGCATACATAATCTATTAGTTTACCCCAAAGAAACTGAAGCATTGAATTCAAGTAGAGTGAAGTCATCAGTAATAAAGGGAAACAGAAAAAGGAAAGAAAGGAATTGGTACGATACTGTTTTTATAAAAGGACCAAGCATCACAATATTCTTCCATTTGTGGTGGAGAGAAAAAAATCATATTCAGACTATAAACCATTCTTCCATATGCCTATAAACACATAAATTTAAAAATATGGGTTTGATCAGCTTGCTGCTCTCAAATAAGACAGTAGGGCAAGAATATAAAAACAGCTGTTCAGGATTCAAAAAATTCCCCCTATGGGGACAGAGCATGACTACCTGGAAAAGTAATCTGGCCCTAGAAAAAACACAAGAGGAAAGTCATGGAGTGATTCCATGCAAAACATGCCATGTCTTCTACCAAGTGTGAATATTCTAAGATAGTATTTGGAATAGAATACAGGTATTTTACTCACAATCTGGGACTATCTTTCAATCTTGGTCTTATTTTTTCCATTGCTAAACCTCTCTCTGCCCTTAGTTAACAACCGTGTAGTTTTCTAAGTGTTTTATATGTTAACGTTAGGAGTCAACATTTTGTTTTTAGTTTTCAGAGCTTCTCAGTAGATAACTAAACTAATAAAATGTTAAATATCATAGTGTCATGTGCATAGCAATCAATTGATTTTATTTTGTGTTGAAGTTGAACAAATTTAGCAATTTGATGCTAGATTTATACACACTTTGTAGCAATGTTATCAACCATTATAGCAACAACTTAAACCACAAATATACTGATGCAAATGTTTATTTCTATGATCTTCCCAGAGTCCACTTCACTAATCAATTATACTATTCTTTTTTAAGGACCCTAGTCTCGGAATCCCTTTTAAGCCAGAACTTCAAAAAACTACTATCAAGCTATAGGGGTGGACACTTGAATGGGTTTTATTTATAATTCTAATGTAATAGCTTTGGAAAATATCTCAAAGTCTGAAAATTACATTAAAAGATAAGGTTTATTATTCTGCTCATGTAAATGAAGAAGCGAGTCTATCAGCTAATAGATGACTAAGAACGTTGGTCTGACTCCTAACATTCCTGTTATCTGGAGCTACTTATGTTTGAATTTTTCCATCTTGTTTATATCATAGAGACTTGGGCCTCTAGAAAACACCAAAACATCATGGATTTAAGGCTAGTGCACAGTATTTGACTCCTGAAGGCACTTAAATGCCATCTGGTCTGTCTTCTTGCTTTTATGTAAAGTAGTAGCAGGAATTCTGGGAAATCTCCTACTTGACATATTCAGAAGCAACACCAAGTTCTGATGTACCTCAAACCTCTTAAAGGATTAAACACTAACTACATCCACATCACTAATTGGGAGGATAGACTTTCTGTACTTGTTTACTTGTTGTTTACCAGGGAAAGTAGAGTTTGGATCCTTTGTTTGTTTGTTTGTTTATGAACCAAGGCAAGGATTACAGCAGTGCATGACCACACCCAGATAATCCTGGCCATTCTTACAAAAAATAGCTGTATATCTATAAGAGGTGACCAGTAATGGTTTTAGAATGTTGAATTCACTCAATCCATATATCAAGACATTTATGTTATTTGGGAATTTCTTAGTCAATTACATAGTCTCTGTCTAAAGGTAGTATCTTTAAGCAAGCCCTTCTTAGAGGACTGCTGATTTGGACAGAGCTTAATTTTACAATGGGTTTCATTTTTTTTTTTTTTTGCAGTTATCTATAGTTATAAATAACCACCATATGTGAAAACCTTCACAGCAAGGCACTATATACTTTTTTTTTTTTTTTTTTTTTTGAATCCAACCTTACTCTGCTTTGCTCATAATTCCTCCAAAAAGAGTGCTTCTTGGAACTAAACATCAGTCTGAGCATGGTACAGTCTTTTGGCTGCTATGGTCTGGAGAACTTAAACTAGTTTTATGGAGCGTCTGTGGTGTCCCAGACAGTATCTATGCTCACATCATCTGATTCCATTCAAATCTGTGAGGACGATGTTGTTGGCATTTCCCAGACTCATACACCAAG